GGGGGGGGGGTATTGGGATTGGGCCTAAATCTTTTATGGCTTAAAACTTAAGGTAATGATCATCTTTCAACTGTTCTGTACCCACCGACTGTATTACCACACAAGAGGAAGCATGCATTTTTGTACTTTGTGTTGCTCCCACTGCTGTGAAATTAATTACCCCACTGGGGACAAATAAAGTGATAGATTGATTGATTGATTGATTGGTCTACTGCTAGCTCACCTAGCACCACTGAGCTAATTCAGCTGAGGAGGATTTCATTCATGTTTACGAAGCTGGAACTTGAGCTGTTGCAAACACTAGCCTCTCGTCCATGAGTAGATGCACGCTTCCTTCTGCTTGGTGATTCAGCTGGTGGGCGTAGTCAGGGGCGGAAATTTATTTAAATCTTAAAAGATTTAGTTGCCCCCTCCTCCCATTCCTAGTAGTGGTATATCCCACACTCTTTCCAATGGGCGGGGCTGCTTGGCAGCAGTAGCAGCGTGTGGCTGGAACCGCTGCCCACATTGCGCATCACAGAGTAAGATGTTCACTCACACAGACACAGTTTAACTTACACAAGTTACAACACATCCCATTTACTGTTACAACAAGCGCCAGGCCCAGGCTGATAATATAAACTGTCTGCAACATTTCGCCTGCATTGTTCAAAAGCCTACTCAATTACGAGTGCTGCTAAGCTAAAAGCTAATGATTAGAGTTTAGTGATAGAGAGGACAGGAGAGAAAGAAGAGGGAGAGGACAGGACAATAGCAGACTATTACGCACGGTTGTGAGGTGCGCAGCGACAGATCTCACAGCACACTGTTTATAAACCAGTTTACCAGTTTAATTGCAGGAAATGATTAGTTTTAGTTTTAGTTAGTATAGACATTCACTCTGCCTGTTGGAGAGATAGAGAGAAGATTAAAGCGTCAAATTGCGGTAAAAGATGCTGTATAAAAGACAGGCTACAACTTTTTTTCCTTGTCCCCCCCTGGAATTATTCTCTAAAATTTTACTGTTTATTGTCTCCCCAACTATGAAATGGGATTTTTGCCCCTGGGTGTAGTTCAGTAGAAAGAAAATAGTTCCTACATGAAACTGCTCAAAACAAGGTCTGTGGATTATCTTGAGTAACTGGGCCATGATTTCTGGAAGGAGACATTGCTGTTGAATTTTTTAAATGCATTTTTTTGGCACCACAAGCCGAGTGCCATCTAGTTCCATTATGTTGGCGAGAAGGCAGACATCTCTACGGCTGATATCTCCAACACTCTGCAGCTCACACCAAAACTATCTAGACTGATAAACAGCACTACAAGTAAGAGGAGAAATATGTGTGTTTGATTTTAGGGTGAACTGTCCCTTTAAGAACTTTTACTTTAAGGTTTTGCACATAATTCCCTTCTATCATTTTCCTTTTGAAACACTTTCCAAAGGTGCTATATGAATAAGGCTTGCTTGCTCCTCTACCAACTGTAACACAGGAGCAGCAACACATATAAAGCTCAGGAGTCCATCTTGTGTGTAAATGCACCTGTCATATTCACACTGGACTGGAACAGCAGCTGCCACTGCTTGCATCACGTCTCCAGGTGACGGAGGAGGAGGAGGAGGAGGAGAGTACAGCAGGAAGTTGTTGTACAGCACAGAGCTCCTGGTGAACTGCACACAACAGGACACACAGAGCACTATCAAAATAAAAGCACTAGGTGGCAGCAATAGGCAACTATAAGGATCCCTGGAGGTTGAGTGTGGTTTATATTATTATTTTGCTCTCTGCTGTAAAGTCAACACAATATTTAGATTATCAGGAGGCTCACTGACCATCACTCTGCTCCCACACTCGGTCAGAGCTGCTCTGATGACGAGCTCCCCGTTTCCAGACTCTTTGGCCGTGCAGTGATCTCCCGCAGCTCTGACGGGTCCAAGCCTCAAGTGCGTGGGCTCCACAGGCCGGCCGGGGTCAAACAGATAAGCTTTCACCACAACCTCCATGCTGTCCTCGTGACATTTCACCGCAAAGGTCTTGAGCCTGTGATCTGCGACAAAGTGAGGTTTGTTGGGCTGATGCAGGGAGTTTGCTTCGAGGGTGGCCAAGTCAGAGAAGGACAGAAAGAGAGGTTTGGTCTGGTAAGAGTAGGGGAAAACTGACACTAATTTAGACAGGAAGTAGAGAGAAAGTGTAAAGTACAAAGACGTAGGTGGCATTGTGGTGCTGCACTGAAAACAGCTCTGCAAAGTTTCTCACTGTGGCTGTCAACATGAGCAAAGGAACACCTGAAACTCATCATCCCTGATTGCCAACCTGACTTCTGTTTCAATTTAAAACTAAAAAACTAAATATCCAAAAGCATTTCCAAAAAAGGGATTTTATTCACAATGAAAAACTGTACATATTGCATTTAAAGGCTGTAATTTGGGGTAAAAAAACACTGATATGTACCATATAAAGTTTGCCCAAGGAGCCATGTAACAGCGTGTACACATAATATAACACTGGAGATTCTTCAAACCTCAAACGGCCCGAGTGTTCAAAAAGGTGCAACAGGTGCCATTCATGTGAAACTAAAGTCTATAAAGCATCTTCTCGCACTAATTTGGCACCAGAAATGTAAAAATATACGACTGATTGTATGTCACGTACAGTCAAAGGCTAAAATGGTGTCAGAAAACACAATCTCTTTGCAGCCCAAAATTGAGGTTATTCTGTTGTCTTCTGCATTTATCTTCTTGACATCTTTTGCCTCATAGCTCCGCAGCATCGTGTGTTTTTCCTTCCTCTTCTGTGCCGTCACTGTCCCCCTCCTTGGCTCCTCCTTTAGTCCCCGTGTCTCCCTTCAACATCTCTGTCATACATTCTGAGGAAGGATGAGAGAAAATAACAGATTTGAGATGCAACGTTTCTGCAAGAGTAAAGAGAGGGCTGAGATAATGCTCACAGGAGTTTAAATATCTTGATTACACAGGTTTATTTATTCATCTTAGAAGTACTGTACATTGAAATTTAATGAGCATAGATGACACTTTTTTTGTTTTTCTTTTAAACAATCCCCTCCCACCCCACCGGTCCTAAAAAAAGAAAAAA